GTCAGCCCCCATCTCTTCCCTTCTTCTCACACAGATACTTCCCCCATTCCCTTCTTCCTTTTTCTCTCAGAAGGGGGAGCCCCCTCTGGGTATCACTCCCCTCCCTGGCACATCAAGTTACTGCAGGACTAGTTGCATCCTTTCTCACTAGGGTCAGACAAAGCAGCCCAGTTAGGGAACATCCAGCAGAGTTGGGTCTCCTGACCTTCATTGTCTGGCCCACAGCTCCCCTTGCCTTCCCTAAAAGTTCTGAGATTATCAGGATCATCCAGCCAACACCAGGGAAAACCAGATGCCTAAAGGACAGTGTAAAGACATAATCAACAAGATCTAGGGCAGCACTAAAATCCAGCTGTCCTGCTACAGCAAGCCCTGGATATCCAAATGAAAAGGAAGCACAAAAAGATGATCTTAAATTCAGTCTTATAAAGATGATAGAAGCCTTTAAAGAGGAAATGAATAAATCCTTTATAAAGAAATCAGGAAAACATTTGAACAGTTAGAGGCATTAAAAAATTAAGCAAATAAATATAATTAAAGGAAAATACAAGCAAACAAGTGAATGATATGAATAACAATGTCTGAGACCTGAAAGTGGAAACAGAAGCAATAAAGAAAACAGATACTGAGGCAATCCTGGAGATAGAAAACCCAGGAAAGAGAACAGGAACTACAGATGCAAGAATCACCAACAGAATACGAGAGATTGAATACAGAATCTCAGGCATGGACAATATGATAGAAGATATTGATACATTGGTCAAACAAAGTGAGAAATCTAAATAGTTCACGACACAAAACATCTAGGGAACTTGGGACACTATGAAAAGATCAAACCTAAGAATAATAGGAATTAAAGATGGAGAAGATTCCCAGATCAAAGGCCCAGAAAACATTTTCAACACAATAGTGGAAGAACATGATACCTGTAAATGTACAGAGAGTAACAGAATACCAGTAAGCTTAATGGCTGTGAGTTAGGGAGGGTTTTGTCTCCCTTCAGGGGCAGACTTCCAATATGCCTTTTAAACATTTTCTTGATGCTGGTTGTTGGTAGGGAACACTTTTAATCCTAGCACTTATGAAGCATAGTCTGGTAGATGTTTGTGAGTTCCAGGCCTTCCTCCTCCACAGAGTGAGTTCCAGGGTAGCAAGAGCCACACAGACAAACCCTTTCTTGAAAAAAAAGGGAGAGAGAAAAAGGAAATGGAAAAATTTTGAGATAAGCATTTCCTTGACCCTCTTCCCTAATTTTACAATCCATCAGTCTCTGCAACAGTCTTCAATCTAAATAGAAGTGGATCATGAAAGGACTCAGACTAAATCCCCCACAGAGAGATGACCTTTTATAAGTTAGGTGGCCTGGGTTAGAAAGAGGAAAATAGTTCAGATGCCATCTAGGATTAAGTACTCACTCATAGGTTAGGACACAGAAAATAGAAAACATATAAATTACTGAGTAAGAAACTATTACAATGTACTTTCTCCATAACTCATGTCAAAGCCACTAAAAAAAAATGGAAATAAAAGCATGAGTTCCTAGGACATTCTTGGGCAGAAACAAGGATAGACTTCAAAGGGTGAATAGAGGTGTAGGAGGAACTAAGGTGGGCGGAGTTAGGAGAGGAAGAGGAGGAGCTAGAGAGAGCAGAGATGTAGGAGGATGAAGAGCCACACAGGTATGGAGAGCAGTCCTGGGTATCAACTTTTATTTAGGTTAGCTAATTGGAAAACAACTCTCTTTGTATGGGTATATTGTTACTGATCATTACCAAACATATAAAGCCTTTGATTAATCTTTAAGCATTAGAGTCTCATTTTTCTGCCAGGCCCGTATGGATGGCGGGATGGTCTGAGCAATGCCCAGCCTTATGGAGACAGCGTGGAAGTTTAGCCGAGCCATCTCCCATGCTGGTGTCTCGTGGGTGGCAGGACCAGTGTCTCTGGCCACCTGAGCTGGCGGCTTGAGCCGGTGGCTGGCTGTTTCTAGCTTTAGTGTGCACGTGGCCTCTGGCCACAGAACATGGCGGCTGAGCTAGGCAGAGCTGCTGCAGCTTAGATAGTCAGTTTGACCAGAGGCTGTTTTAACAAATTACTACAACAAATTGGCACCCCATATTGGGCACCACTTTTTGATATAATTATTTAAAAATCAGCCACCAGTCAACCCAACTATCTAAGCTGCAGATGCTTGACTAGCTCAGCTGTCATGTTCTGTGGCCAGAGGCCATGTGTGTGCTGCAGCTAGAAATGGCCAGTCAGAAACACCAGCCCTGCCACCCAGGAGACGTCAGCGTGGGAGATGGTTCTACCAATCTTCCACGCTGTCTCCCAGCAACCACAGGGTCTCGGTACAAGTGAGACTCTAATGCTTAGATTATCCAAGGGCTTTATATGTTTGGTAATGATCAATAACAAGGTGCCCATACAATCAGAGGTGTAATCTAATACCCAACCTAGATATACCAACTACCTTTGACGACCAGAGACACGGAAACATCCACCTCCATGTTTCTCTCTCTCTCTCTCTCTCTCTCTCTCTCTCTCTCTCTCTCTCTCTTTCTCTCTCCCCTAGCTCCTCCTCTTCCTGTCCTTACTTCTCCTCTTCCTCTCCTTACTCCTCCCACTTTAGCTCCTTCTACACAGAGGAGTCACAAGTATATTAAGAGAAAGCAAGGATGGAGAGTACCGGTGTAGGGTGGGGGCGTGGTGTGAGGCGTGAGACCCGGCTTTGCCTCTGCCTGAAGCCTGCAGTTCTCATAGCTGCTCCCTGGTGGCAGCTTCCGTAGCACCCAGCAATCTGTTCTTTGGTTTCCTTTGGGTGTGTGCTTTCCCAGGGTTGGCTCTTTAGGCTGTTGCATATTTACCAGAGCCTTCAAATCTAGCCATCGTGGAGGCTTGGGACCTTTGTTAATACCTGGATATCCGTTGGAGGCACATAAATAAGAACATTTGCATAATTTCTGAAATAATCATTTTCTGGTATTATATTTGTAAATGAGAAGACCGCAAAATTGAGGGACATAAAAAAAAGTTCTAGAAGACATGGAAGGTAATTTTCCATGGAAGCTGATACTCATCTACCTCTCAAGAAATTGTAATAGACCATGAAGTGTTAAGGAAAAGCTACAGTGTAAATAAGCACAGCTTTGTGGTGTTCATTAAATTCTCATAAGGACACATATCCCGATGCCATGTACCTGATCAATGTTTTGAAGGCATTTCTCTAAGAAACAAGACAAGAAAAGAATGCCTTAACAGATGTCACAATTTTCATGATAGCCACATGAGAGCCATGTTGAATGTCAATCTATTTAGTTTCATACCCTTCAACTGCTGTAAAAGGTATAAACATTGATGAGTGTGTGCCTTAGTTAGGGTTCTATTGCTATGAAAAAAAAAAACACCATGATGATGGCAAATCTTATAAAGAAAACTATTTAGTTGGGGATGGCTTGCATTTTCAGAGGTCAGTCCATTATCATCATGGTGGGAAGCATGGCAGTTAGCAGGCAGACAAGGTGTTGAAGCAGCTAAGAGCTCTAAATCTTGATCTGACTGCATCTAGGACAGGACAGGCTGTCTTCCCTAGGCAGCCATGAGGAGGCTGTCTTCCACATTGGATGGAGCTTGACCGTAGGAGTGTCAACATCCGCCCCACAAGTGGCACACATCTTCCAAGAAGGCCATACCTACTCCAACATTGACACACCTCTGAGTTGTGCCAATCCCCATGGGCCAAGCATATTCAAACTACTACATTCCATTCCCTGGCCCCCATATCCTTGTTTAAACACACAAGTCTACAGGGGCCATCATAGCCATAGCACAGTACAAATATATTTAGTCCAACTTCAAAAGTCCCCATAGTATATCATAGTCTCAACAATGTTTAAAAGTCCAAAGTTCAAAGTCTCTTCTGAGATTTATGCAATCTCTTAACTGTAATCACCTGTAAAATCCAAATCATAAAGGAAATCATATACTTCCAACATCACAGGATGCAGATTACCATTCCAAAAATGTCACAGCGAGGAAACACTGGACCACAGCCAGACCAACAGTCAGCTGGGGAAACCCCAAACTCTGCATATTCATATATGCTCTCTAACTCCTTCCAGCTTTGGTGACTAAAACACCGTTCTTTTTCTGGGGCTGGTTCCACTTCCCATTAGCGTCTTTCCCTGGCAGGAGGTATTCCATGGCTCTGGCATCGCTAACATATTGGGGTCTCCAAGGCAACCTCAACTTCACACCCAATGTCAGTTCCAGTGTAGACACATCATCTTCTGGGCTCCTCCAAAGGTCTTGGGTCACATCTCCAGCTCTGCCCTCTGTAGCACTCTAGGCTCTAGGGGACTCCACTCCACTGCTGCTGCTGTTCTTGGTGGTCATCACAAGGTTTTGGGATCTCCAGTATGCCCGGGTCTTATGCTCCAACTAGCCTCCACCAATAGCCTCTCACAGGCAGACCAAGAGATCAGGAATGTAACAGGTAGATGAAAAATAAAAACACATCCCCCACCCCAGGCAATCTAAATGGTTGAATTATAGAGGAAAGGGCCACTGTGGGAAGCAGGGCTGGACAAGTTCAGGGTAGGGGCAGGGCATGCCAGCCAACCCTGTAAGCAGCAGAGACTGAGGCATGCAGGGAGAAGCTGGCAGATAGCCTCTGCTTTGATAAAATAGCTACCTCATATCCCTGGGTGTACGACCTAACACCCTGCCCAGGAGGAAGATGGGGAAGTTCCTACAGTGTGAAGGGGAATTGCAGGTATGATGTTGAGTCCAGGCACAAGTTCAGCTGCCATGCCAATCTCCACAGGCCTGGGTAAGTTCAGTGTCTGGAGTGGACAACAGGGCTGGAAACCACTGTGCTGTGTCCCTGCAAACCACCCTGTCTCTGGGAGTCAGCGCCTGTCATCCAGGTTCATTAACCAATCAGAGCCTGGACTGCCAGGCAGAAGGGAGGCGGGCACTTCCGGTCCACGATGCTGCAGGTTTGACTGAATCTGAGGGAGTCTCTCGTGGTTCCGTGTGCTGCTTTTTCAACCCCTGCTGGGAGCCTTGAGGAGAGCGGGCGGGCTGGGACTCCGCGCCATGGTGAGCGGGGCCGCCGTCCCACGCGGGGAGGATCGCGGGAGCCCGTGTGGCGTTGTCCCGGGGTGCGGGACCCGGCGGCGGGACGCGGCGCCCGGTGTGATTCCCTTTGTTTCCCCGGAGGTCCCTGCACCTCCCCGGCGGAAGCGGGACCTCTCAGTGACGTCGTTCCCCGACTGCGCCTGCGCACAGGGGGAGGCCGGCCTGGAGTCTGTAAACTGCAGGGCAGCATTCAGCGCGCGCATGCGCGGCTCTCAGTGTCGGGGTAGTCAGTGCTGAGCCGCAGAGCTCTGGCTTCCCCGCGTCGTCTAGAAGTTCCGCACTTGGCACCTGACGTGCAGGAGCAGGACCCGTCTGCAGTTAACTCTGCGCCGGTGTCATCACGTCTGTGCTGTCCACGCAGTCGCATGTAGATGCCACCGTGGTCCAGTCCCGTGTGTTAGGAAGACAGACCCGCTGTGGTTCCCTCCTCAGGTGTCAGAATTGACCGAGCATTAACTGTGGTTGTGTTCTAAGTGTTCTCTCACGTTCTGCGGGTGTCCGTGTTCTGTCTCAGACGGCGCAGTCTTTATTGCAGGGGTAGGGGAAGTGTTGAAGTCAGGTGGTGTCACTGTGCTGTTTATTCAGTCTGTGTTGTTCATGTTTCCCTTCATGATGACCTTTCGTCGTCGGTTTTCTGTCGTTCGCTGCAGAAATCGTTAGACTCTTTATTGGACATTTGTTGAATCTGTAGCTCAGAGTGTGTACTGAGATAATACTGAGACTTCTTGTCTACAATCTTGCAACTTCTCTCCTTTGTTTGAGTTCTTTGATTCTTTTAAGTTTGGCTACAGATATTTGTTCCATTTCTGTGTATTTCTGGCTACTTTATCCATGGTGACATGTAAGAGATATGGGTATTTTTAATTTACTAAATGTGTTTCCTGTACATGAGTGTTTTGCTTCTGTGTATGTGTGTTCATCATTTGGGTGTTTAGTGCTACAGAAGACCAAAGAGGTCATTAGTTGCCCTCCACTAGGATCTAGGAATGATTTTTTGGCACTATGTTAGTGGTGGGAACCAAACCTAGGTCTTCCGCTGGAGCAGAACTCTTAACTGCTGAGCCATCTCTCCAGTCTTAAACTTGCCAGACTTTCAAAATTTTGCATGTGAGTGTGCCCTTCACAGGCTGAAAACTGAGTGTTAAGGTGATTGAGGTTTGGTTAAAAGTCTTGTGTTTGAAAGTTGGGAGATGTCTCAGAGGTACTGGTGAGATTGAGTCAGCTTGACAAAAGCTAGAGTCAGACTGGTGTACTCTCCTGATTAATGATTTATAAATAGTGCCCGTCCCACTGTGTTTGGTGCTGCCGTGGCCACAATCAAGATCATTTGTACTTTTGTGGCTAGGAACAATTGCTGAGGACTGGCCTCAGGTTTTTTCGGGGTTCTTGAGAATGGAAGGATTGGATCAGCCTGAAGTCAAGAGTCTCAGGCAGTGACACAGGATCAAGCTGACGTAGTTGTTCAGAAGCTGAGCTCAGAGACAGCTTTCAGGTTTGTCTTTTGTTTTTTTTCTCTCTGAGTTTACCTCAGGCTTTTGTTGGTTACGCACATCCTAGTTATGCAACAATACATAACCAAAAGCCTTTTCATTATTTTTCTCAAGCACATTAGTTTTCCCGAAAAACCTCATTTAACTATGCCACCAGAAGGCATAATGCACACACAGAGACAGTTTAGTGTCTGCTAAAGTAAGTTATGCATTAACTTTTACCTCTCAGAAAAACCTCCATATCTCCAGATCATCTGGGCATGAACATATGTTTATAGCATTAGCATGAAAACAGAAAGGTGCTAAACAGGTCAGGATAATGTTAATATTTTTAACCTGTCTGACATTTGCAAGATCTCTTTATTAAGCTTATCCAAACGTCTGTTTCTACAGTGCTTTTCAAACTCTTCTTCATATGTAATATTCATTCCTCTTGCAACTCCTCCCAGGGCTCCTTCACAAGCCCAAATTCTATCTCTTAAGAATTATTCTAATTTTCTTATTAGGCAAACGTGCCAGGGGGTCAAATCATTATGTTCCAATTTTTTCAGGAAGGTCAGCTCACTAATCCAACAGATCCAGTTATTTCTTGCCCTATCTTGTCCTGTATATTTTCTACGAACATCCCTATTCTTAGTGACCTAGGCCAAGTGTTCCTGTTCCTTGGGGTCTTCAATTCTCCTAATGACTAAAACTTCAGGATTCTCAAAAACATTTCCTGCTTCAAATACTTCCTAGTACAATCATCATGAGTTGGCTAAAAATTAACAGAAAACAGTTAAGGCCATCAGCCTCCAACCCTAGAACCGCTTGTCCGGTTATGCCTGGGTTGGCTGTTTGAACGGCCAGGGCCAGAGCAGTTAGTTCCTAATAGACATCAGAGCCATGTCCTTCTCAAGTAATGTCCTCAATCCCTTTCCCAGAGTTTAGACAAAGTAGACAAGCATACATGAAAGAACGTCATCTGTGTACTAGAAAGCCAGGGATTCATTACTCAGATTGAGGGTGCTCCAGCAGCTGAAACTGTGTCATGTAGCCATGTTGTAGCAGGATACGTATTCTGCTACATTGTATTTGCAGTGGAGTTCAGTGATTAGGCAGTAGAAGAGGAGGTGGAGCTGGGAGAAGAAGAGAGGAAGGGGAGGGGAGAAAAAGAGGAAGGGTAGGGGAGAAAAAGAGGAAGGGGAGGAGAGAAAGAGAGGAAGGGGAGGAGGGAAAGAGAAGAAGGGGAGGAGAGAAAGAGAAGAAGGAGAGGTGACGACTGGAGAGGAGTGGTGAGAGATGACGGGAGGAGAGAGAGGTGGAAGGACAATGGAGGAGAAGGAAGTGGCCTGGAAAAACTGCAAGTTACAAGGGATCTCATAGATGGGGAATGAAATAGAGTAGTGGTAAATCTGCCCAATCTAGGCATGCAGTTTGTATTCATAATTGAATTGTGTTTTCTTTGATTGGTCCTATTTGGATTGGAGATTTACCCCAACACCACGTAACACCTGACAAACAATTATTATGTTTTGGGGAATAAATTAATAAGGAAGAGTTGGCTAGACATCTGGAAATTCCTCAGCTCCCCTAGAGCGTTGGAACTTGAACTTCATTTCATCTCATGACCAAAATGGAGCCTGAAAACAAAATGGCAGTACTTAGGAAAAGTCTCATTTGTTTGTTCCCAGCCCCCTTCTTCTCCCCTCTTTTTACCTGTTTCCAGTTTTTGATTCTCTGTTTCAGAGTAGAGGGGGTTGTATTGGACCCTCAGGCTCATGAGCTTGACTGTGCTTATGTGGCTGTGCACAAACCACACAATAGCGTTGACGATACAAGGAGCTAAGAGTAAGACCAGAAATAATGTTAGGAACCCTGTAAGACTAGTGAGGAGCATCGTCAGCCTGGGAGCCAGGCGAGCAGAGATTCAAACCAGTCAGAGCTCTCTCTGTTCTTCTCTGTTGAGGAATTTATGTTTTACTCTGGCCAGCATGTTTTTAATAACTCCAAAGTGGTTAGCATAAAAACAACAGGTTTCCCCTAGGGTCATGCAAAGACCTTCTTTAAAACAGAGCAAGTCTAGCCCACCCATAGTTTGGAGTTTTGCTTTAGCTATGGGGTCCACCTGGTTTTCAAGAAAGGAATGTAGGAATATAGGCAGTTTTCTATTTTTTTTCAGAGGTCCCATGGGTTTTCGAGAAGCAGAACAATTAATTTCTGAATAACGGACTTTATTCCTGGGTCTTTATTTGTCTAATATGCCTGGAGCCCCCATGTCAGTTCTCTGTGTTATCTTAAACAAGTGGAAGAGAGTCCCAAATGCCTGAGAGGGCTTCTGATAGGGTTCTATGCCCTTAGACTACACAAGAGAAGTTTTATTCTGTCTGGATATCTATGTGTTCATCCCTATTAACTCCCTATTCTGGGGCCCAGGTCTAGCCTCCTCAATGGTCACTAGTACTACAGGTGGACTTATTTTCTGTCTGGCAAGCATTCCCCCCACCTTCCAGATCCTTTTTTCAACCTGTGTTGAGTGGCTATGCATCCTTGGGCTATTCCCTGTTGGTGGTACAAAGGTCTGTTTTAAATTTGGGGCCCCAAATTTAAAGGTGTTTCTTTCTTGTCAGTTTTCAGAAATAATTTTGTCCCATCTGGGTGTCAGAGCATCTCCAGAGATACAGTTGTGGCTGATGATTCCCTGTGTGATGTCTGTCTGCCGGCACGAGAGAAGCCATAGCACCAGTAGGAGGGTTGAGGAATGTCTTATCTGTACAGAGCCCTTGGAGTCCTGCTGAATGGTTCATTTGGGTCCAGTGACTGCATTGGGCTCCCATCTGGGACAGGCTTTAGGGGAGTATGATGTGTCCAGGGAAAATGCTGTTGACTCTAAGGGTGGAAGTGTGGGCCTTTCCCCTGGGCAGCCAGTGTCTTTTTGATGCTGTCTGATGTACACGCGGTCTCCAGGAAGTTGTGAGGCTTCACCGCTGGAGGCCACGCAGGTGACAGACCAGGAGATACAGTGTGTCCTGAGCCGTCTGTACTGACTGCAGTTGGGCAAAAATAGATAACTTTAGCAGTCACGTCAGATGTAGCTTTTGGACAGATGAGGGGTCTTCTAAACACTCTCTTGTAGGGGGTCAGACCTCCTTGGTAATGGGTATTCCTACTCTGGAGAAGGGCAAAGAGAAGGAGTGCCCTCCCATCTCCACCAAGTTTTCCCAAAGGGAACTTATTTTTAACTTAGCAGTTTTTGGTTGATGAGGGGGCAGGGCTGATACACTCTCTTCTGTGTACTTCTTTCTGCCTGAAATTGGGGTCTCTGCTGTCAGGACCAAGGAGTCAAATCTAGGCAACTGGGTGGGCGTTTTCTGAAGGAACAGAGAACAGTTGTATTAGCTGTACTAGTTTATATCAGCTTTCACCAAGGACAGAACTCAACCCCTTGCAGTCTGCAGGTATTCCCTGTTTGCTGTCTTTGATCAAGCGCAG